GGACGTATTTCTTGCTTATAACTAGCTGATGACACCATCTTTTCTCCTCTATGTGCCTCACTCTGTAAGTCGCGAGCTTTCTCTTTCTCTCCATACCCCTTTCTGTCTCTTCTGTTTGCTTGTGACTCTTGCATGCACTCACATAGCCCCTTATAACCATCTCTCAATGACACAATCTCTCTCTCACTATGTTTGCTTGCAGACTCGGTCTCGATGCCAACCAGGCGCAGAGTCTGGAGCTTGTTAACATCACCGACACGTTGCTAAGCGACATCTGCCTCCAGACGGCGCTGGTTCCGCCCTGCATTCCCGGTCGCTACCGCGAGCCGACTGGTTACTGTAATAACATCCTCAACCCTCGCTGGGGAACCTCACACGTCGCGCTGCGGCGCATGGTCGCCAACGCATACGAGAACGGTACGTGTGGTGCCATCTAGCGTGACAGAGAGGATACGAAATGGAAGATTGTGGGAGCGGAGTTATGTGACGATGTAGTGTGCGGGAAAGCATTCAGATTGTTATTGATAGGTGGGGCGATGGTGAGAGAGGGAGAGGGGAGACAAAATGATAGAGAGGAGAGATCGAGAGAGGGGAAAGCGGGAGAGAGAAAGGGGGGAACGGTATAGAGGGATAGAGGGGAAAAGGGAAGACGGAAAACAGCTATTGTCGTCGGACAATCCGTGGTATTGATAGTGGCAGTGACTATTGGTATTAGTATAAATAATAGTATGGTAGTAGTAGTGGTAATGGTGGCGGTGGCAGTGATGGTGATGGTGATGGTGGTGGTGGTGGTGGTGGTGTTGTTGTTGTTGTTGTTGGCGGTGGTGGCGGTGGTGGGGTGGTGGTGTTGTTGTTGATGATGATGATGATGATGATGATGATGATGATGATGATGATGATGATGATGGTGATGATGATGATGATGATGATGGTGATGGTGATGATGATGATGATGATGATGATGATGGTGGTGGTGGTGGTAGTCGTCGTCGTCGTGGTGTTGACGGTGGTAGTCAGTGGCAATCGTGGTGTATGATGATGGAGCAGCTATACTGCTATACCGCTATATGTTTCTCTCAACGCCAGGTTTGGACATCATGAGATTTACGAGCATTGACGATAGTCTGCTTCCCTCGCCTCGTCTCATCTCGACCAGCCTGCATCCCAGCACGAGCGATCTCCACTCTAAGATCTCGCTCATGGTCATGCAGTGGGGTCAGTTCATTGACCACGACATTGGTCTTACGCCGTTCACCACCGGTATGTAACGTCATCACCTATAGCGTATGTTTGTGTGACATATAAAACGTGTCTGTGTGACATTTAAAGCGTGTCTGTGTGACATATGTAGCGAGTCTGTGTGACATATGAAGCGTGTCTATGTGACATATGTAGCGAGTCTGTGTGACATACGAAGCGTGTCTGTGTGACATATGTAGCGTGCCTGTGTGACATATAAAACGTGTCTGTGGGACATTTAAAACGTGTGTGACATATGTAGCCAGTCTGTGTGACATATGTAGCGTGTCTGTGGGACATATGTAGCGTGTCCGTATGGCATATGTAGCGTGTCTGTGGGACATATGTAGCGTGTCCGTATGGCATATGTAGCGTGTCTGTGTGACATATATGTAGCGTGTCTGTATGACATATGACTCATCTCTCTGTGAGCTGTGACGCATGTTCGTACGTCACTCGTCATCGTGATTGTATTATATATAGGTGCTGAGAACGAGCCGCTGGATTGCTGCATGACCGGATCGGGAATCCATCCCGCCTGCAGACCGATCCGGGTTCCCATCGACGACCAGTTCTACAAGCAACACAACGAGTTCTGCATCAACTTCGCTCGCTCCATCGCTGCCCCTAGACCTGGATGTGGCTTCGGTACGTTATGAGACGGCAGGCGGCGCCACGATCGGATCAGATAAATCTCAATTAGATTACGGTTGACCAATAAGAAATAACTACACAAGCTACGTCACAATGTTTGGTGAAAGTCGGAGTGAAATGCAATTTATCGTGATTTAGAAAATGGTTTAAAAAACTATTAGAAATATTAGTAGTAACAGTTATTAGTGGCATAACCGATAGAAATATTGATTAAGTATTGATGAAGTATAAATGCATCAATATATAACAGTGGTATATCGATTTTAATGACTCAATGCGTGTTTGATCAGGTGCCAGACAGCAACTGAATCAGCAAACTGCGTTTATTGATGGATCGATGATCTATGGAAACATAGACAGCTTAGCTGAGAGCTTACGCACGGGGCAGAGAGGTATGTACACCAACCCTTTCCCTACACATACATCCCCACCGTACAACTATGTACCATTCCCCCACAATAAACGACAGAAGCGTTTCTAGCAGGGTACGCATAGAATAGGGCGGTATGTGTGTATCCGTCCTCACTCATCCATACATCCTCACCACACACCCATGTATTACCACAGTAAAACTAGCTAGCAAGCTACGCGTGGGGTAGGGCGGTATGTATGTATGTGTGTGTGTGCGTGTGTGTGTGTGTGTGTGTGTGTGTGTGTGTGTGTGTGTGTGTGTGTGTGTGTGTGTGTGTGTGTGTGTGTGTGTATGTATGTCTGCCCTCATCCATCTATGCATA